AGCAAAGCGCGCGGGGCTGGGATGAAAGAGAAACCCTTCCAATGAGCATCCGTCTGCTTTAGTTGAGCGACAAAAGCCAAAAAAAAAAAAAAAGTCCTCGCGCGCAAAGATGTAGTGCAGTGGGTTAGACCTGAAGGGGCGGGGTGAATAACGGAATCGCCGTAGCCAACCCGCTGCTCCGCGGGGAAGACTGACAAGTCTATCTGCCCAATGAAAAGGAAGAATGGTGATAGAGGCTGGACTTAAGGAGATGATGGCCAGGCCAGGTTTCCATGACTACCTAGCAGGGATGGCAGAAATAAATGCTGATTATTTCTGTTATTACTATTAGAAAATAAATGCAAACATATTAATTGATGTCCAAATACATACATATCCCTCTGGGCCTGTATGCCATACATTTATTAGTCCTATTTTTTTTCCACTCTGCTCCTTGATTTTTATTACTAGACCTTGCAAATCCTTTGCAGCTTCACCTATCAAAAGTATCAGCCTGACTGATATTTAAGATAACCTTTATTGTCATTTTCTTACTATGGGCACAACGGCACACATCAAAAATGAAATTTAGTTGCCTGTTCTCAAAGTGAAACACATACATGACACACACCTAAACATACTACATTTCTTCCTCCAGTTTTAAAATTATGCTCACCTTCTTCTAATCCGGCTCCCATTAATATACATCCAGCATGTGAATTGAATTAAATAAGGGGAAAGTAAACAGAACAGGCCTCAGAACAGGGAGTCCTCAAGACCACAACTGAGCCCAAAATTTAGGTGGCTAAGTGAAACACTTGTGAAGTGAGTTTGTTCCATTTTATGACTTTTCTCGCCGTAGTTGTTAAGTGAATCGCTGCATTTGTTAAGTCACTAAGCGGGTGGTTAAATGCTTCTGGCCTCTCCAGATTGATTTTGCTGATTAGAAGGGGGTCAACGTGACCCTGGGACGCCGCAACCGTCATAAATGTGAGTCCGTCGCCAAGCGTCTGAATTTTGATCACGTGACCCTGGGGAGGCGGCAACGGTCGTTGTGTAAAAACTGTCCTAAGTCAAATTATTTCAGTGCTGTCGTAACTTTGAACGGTCACTAAATGAACTGTTGTAAGTTGAGGATTAATTGTAACTTTGCAACCAGCTTTGCATTGATAAGCATTTGCAGATCTTCAGAGTAAAGAAATCCGTCAGTCCTATTTTAAGCATACTTGAAGCTTCCCTCAGCAGCGGCTTCACTTAACAACCCAATTGCAGTACATGCTGATTGCCAAGCATCCAAATTTTGATCACGTGACCTCTAAGACATGCTGTGGCGGTCATACGTGCGAGGACTGATTGTAACACATTTTTTGCAGTGCCACTGTCACTTCAAACATGTCGCTAAACGAGAAATTGGAAGTCAAGGACTTCAGTACCTCTAGGCAAGTGAAGATTTTCACACGTCAAGTGGTGACTGACTAAAAATCTGGCAACGTATAGCTAGTCCTCAACGTACGGCCACAATGGAGGCCTAAAACTATGTTGCTAAGTGAGAAACTCGTTAAGTGAATTTTGCCCCATTTTATTACTTTTTTGTTAAGTGAATCACTGTAGTTAAGGGAGTCACGTTAAGTGGATTGGGCTTGTCAGGTCACAACAGGATCACGTGACCCCAGGATGCTGCAACCGTCATAAATGTGAGTCGGTTGTCAAGCATCCAAATGTAAATCACATGACCTTGGGTCCTAAGTGCAAAAAATGGTCATAAGTCGTTTTTTTTCAGTGCCGTTGCAACTTCAAACAGCCACTAAGCGAACTACTGTAAGTCGAGGACTACCTGTATTTTATCAGACTTGGTTTCCAACTTTTCCAACAATTCTGACATTCAAGGGTTAACTGCCAGAATAATTAGCTTGACTCCACAGCAAAGTGACTCTTATTACTTCACCGAACTTCCCCTTTGAGTGTTTTAACTTTCAAATCCTTATTTGGGGGGGGAATTTGCACAAAACCATTTTCCTGCCGATGCATCTTGGCCACCTCCCCCTGGATAAAATGCCCTGAAAAACATGCAAACTTCTTTTCCAGGCCAACGAAAATCAAAATATGCGAGAAGGGACGTCCTGTGGTTTACAAAATGGCAGAAGTGCGTGCAGTGCCTTACTTCAAAACACAACAAAATAAAACAGGAAGCCGCAAGGATTGAAGACACCATGCAGTTCAAATCACTGCAACATGCTGTGACTTACAGCGACTCATTTAGGGACGATTCCAAGTTACAACAGCAGTGGAAAAAAGGGACTTATGACCGTTTTTCACACGATCGTCGCAGCATCTCCGTGGTCACGTGATCAAAATTCAGATGCTTGGCAACTGGCATGTACTTGTGACGGTTGCAGTGTTGGGACAAAATTCACTTAACAAATGTTCGCTCGCCCCTGGACTACATCAAAACAAAGTCTGAAGTTTCTCTGAAAAATTGCTACTCAGATATAAATCTGAAGCATTGGAGAGTCTTGCTCCCACCCACCCAAAATTTAAATTGGAGAGTCTTGCTCCCACCCACCCAAAATTTATCTTATGCAACAGCTTGTGGTCACAAGCAAAATTAAGTAATCTGGAAATTCAACTAGGGTGAATGAAGTAACGACACATTTTTTTTTTCAACCAATAACTTTTAATCAGCATGTGAAAGAGTTTGGTGAGCAGGAATTCCCAGGTTTTGTCAAGGGATGTATAATTTTGCCAGGGACTCTATCATTCTAGAGCCTAGTATAGTTTGAAGTGAATAAAAATGAAACATCTGAGCATATTTTTCTACGCGACACTCGGTATTTGAAAACTATTTTCTTCCCTTCGTTCTTTCTGCTGGCTAATGGCCGTGAGAAAGTTGATTCGATTCGGGAGTCTCCGTGGTTTAATTTTCCCCCAACTGAAAGAAATAATATAAAGGAACTTGGAACCTGGTTTGACGATCTATCAGAAGTAGATAGAAAACACGATTTTTTTTTAAATAGGGAACAAAATCAGTGAGTCAACACATGTACGCAAGTCATGTGAATTGATGCACCTGGATTAATTCCTGGGGAGATGGAGCATAGGGAGATACACACAACACACTAAATCGGTGTTTCTTAAACTTGGCAACTTTAAGACATGTTGGCACTCAGTTCCCAGAATTCCCGAGCCAGCATGCTTCTTCTTTCAAGAAGAAGGCAAGAAACTAAGTCTTCGTGTCCCCCCAAATTCTCAGTAGGATGGAAAGACGGCCCTCTTGGGGTGCCAGGCAGTCCTCGACTTATAACCGTTTAACCAAGGGACACCGCAGCAGCCCATCATCCCAGCCCATCACCCTTCATTACAGTTGTAAATTGAGGATTCCCTGTCATTTAATGGCTGGGAACAGACGACTTTCCAAAGATCACACTCCTTAATCTCCTCTGCAGGAAAACAACAACAACAAAAAACCAGAACGAAGAAATTCCGTTTCCACGGACATCAATGGATAAAATTTCCAAAGGCAGCAATCCGAGTTACAGGCTTCTCCTGTAATAAGCACTGATCTACAACACAGTTGTAAACAGTGCTTCCACTGTTGTAAACTGGAGCCCGGGAGCTCTGCCTGATTCTTAGGCAATTCCAAATCCCTGACCAGGTTGTTTAGTTCAGGGGCTCCCAACCTTTTGGGGGTTGGCGGCCCAGTGGGAAAGGGAGGGGTGGGCACCTTTACGCACACATGCGCACCCATGCAAATGTGGCTGCATGCGTGCGAATGGAGGCGTGAGCATGCATGCTCTGCAAATGGGGTTGCTAGCGCCGGTGCACAGTGCACGGCTCAGCTAGCACCAGCACACAACTCAACTAGCGCTGGCACGCGATTCAGCTAGCACCGGCATGCTCGGCTAGCGACAGCGAGGCTCAGCTAGTGCCAGTGAAAGCCTTGCACCTCAGCTAGCGCTGGCACACAGCTCGCAGCTCAGCTAGTGCGAGGCTCGGAGCTCAGCTACCGCTGGCACAAGGGGGCGGGTGGGCATGCATGCCGGGGCCATGAGCATGCACGCTTTGCAAATGGGGTTGCTAGCGCCTGTGAGCAGCACACAGCTCCAGTAGTGCCAGCACACAGTTGTTTTTATCTCGGAGGTCGATTTGTAGACCAGTGAAATCGAAGAACGAACAAACTTCCTTTTGATTTTGAACGCCCAATTCTCTCCTTCTTTCCAAGAAATGGACAAGGAAGAACAAGGGTTCACAAAGTCCACAGCTTTTCCCCAAATTCCATTAAGCAGACATCAATTCCAGAAAACTTCCAGAGCTGGAGAACGGGATGCTCATTCTAAGGATTCAGCATATTCATATTTAGTCTCCAACTAAAGATGCCACTTGCTTCTTCCTTTTCTAAGCCACAATCCAAGAGATCTACTCCCCACTGGAACCAGGAAGCCAGTCACTTGTCCATATCAGCCAACATATTTTTTTGCGATGTGACCTTTTTTTAAAAAAATAAAAATGAAAATGAAAAACCGCCGAGATCCCGCCATTTCCCTTGCCGGCTATGTGAAAGCGAGCTTTCCAGTTTTTGCTTTCCTGGCAAGTTCTCAGAATAAGTCTGAGCCACTTGGCTATTTGGGGGAGGAGGACGCTGAACTGACCGATCTGAAATAGCCTGGGTCAAAAAACGTCACTGGTGACCCCGAAAGCAGACTAGAGGAAATTAAGCAAGCCTTGTGTCAACGCTGCTAACATTGGATGTTTTTGCATTGACAACAGATGGAAATGTAGCCATCTTTTCCCCTTTCGCTTTTAGAGTTAGATGATGCTGGGAGGGGGAAGGGATGTGAACGAGAGTCCGGCTACACATAACAACACTAAACCTAGCAGGAGAATCAAGGTTATTGTAACCAGAGCTGATAAAGAATTGACCGAGCTGAAGAGGAAGCCCATGCTTCAAGCTAATTGGGGAATGTGATTTATGACTGTTAATTGGAGGAGGGAATTGTGCTTTGATACTAGGTGTCCCGGGGAGGGGAATTCAGTTTTTTGGTTTCGATTAGGTAAGTGCCGATATTATGCTACTCGAATAAAAGATCCTTTAAGGTAAACAATGCCTCAAAGTTCTTTTGAAGAGTTTCATCTGTCGGAACCATGACAGCTTGTTTTTGAGGATAGAGTTCGGCACTGCTGGGAGCGTCACGCACCAGTGGCAGAAAGCAATCTAAAGTAAGCAAGTCCCTACTGCGTCCCTTCCGTTGAGTTATGGAGCATCGGTAGGAAGAGGTGGTGGCTGGACGTGAATTTCAGCGGTCCACAACTGCTCGGCGACTCCAGTGTCTTATTTCTTCTTATACAGCGCAAAAGCCGCAGCTGCCACAGATGCCAGAACAAACCCGGCCAAAAGCAGCCAAAAATTATCTAAAGAACTTTCAACTTCAACCTTGGCTTTCTCATCTGGGAGACAAGGCCCAGCCTGGTTCTTGGCTTCGTTCTTTGGTTGACCGCCGGATGTTGAATCTGGGAAGGCCCGGGGAGACGGCCGCGAGGAGGCCACATCCAAAGGGACCCCCGTCAGATCCACACTTCGGTTCTCCTCCACTCGCACGTGGTGGCTCCTGAGGGACGTGTCTTCTTCATCAGGGTCCACCTCGGGTGGAAGAGAAGCATCGAGAGGCTCGCCCGCCCGGCTGCTTCCCCCAGCGGTGCTCGGGGTCAAATTGCCGGCTGAGGTGCTATTACTCACCAAAATGGGGTCGCTGCTGCTCACGCTCCCCAAAATGGAGTCGCTGTCGCTCATGCGTAATCTTTCCGATGAGCCAGAATACAACTTGCTGGCCTCTCCAGTGTCATCTAAGTGGAGTTTGCTGGGCTCTGAAGTATTTTCTGAAGACAGAACGCCTGGCTTGGAAGGCATATGGTCCTCACCACAGTTGCTGTAAAAGATGTGACTGTATCTCTGACAGTCCCGGATAGCTGAGGGCCGACTCTCCATCCCCTACAGGAAACAGAAAAAAGAGGTCAAATAAATGCCCCTGTTCATTGTCTAAGTCAGGGGTAGGCAACCTTGGCTCTTTTATGACTCAAGGACTTCAACTCCCAGAATTCCTGAGCCAGCCATGCTGAGGGGAAATGGAGGTTTCCAAGCTGAGCCATGCTGGCTCGGGAATTCTGGGAGTTGAGGTCCACGAGTCATAAAGCGGCCTAGGCCTAGGCCAGAGGTAGGCAACCTTGTCTCTTTTATGACTCGTGGACTTCAACTCCCAGAATTCCTGAGCCAGCATGGCTCAGCTTGGAAACCTCTCCATTTCCCCTCAGCATGGCTGGCTCAGGAATTCTGGGAGTTGAAGTCCACGAGTCATAAAAGAGCCAAGGTTGCCTACCTCTGGCCTAGACCTAGGCCGCTTTCTGACTCGTGGACTTCAACTCCCAGAATTCCTGAGCCAGCATAGCTCAGCTTGGAAACCTCTCCCTTTCCCTCAGCATGGCTGGCTCAGGAATTCTAGGAGTTGAAGTTCACGAGTCAGAAAGCGGCCTAGGCCTAGGCCAGAGGTAGGCAACCTTGGCTCTTTTATGACTGGTGGACTTCAACTCCCAGAATTCCTGAGCCGGCATGGGGGAAACTATGGCCCCTTCATGACTTGTGGACTTCAACTCCCAGAATACCTGAGCCAGCCATGCTGAGGGGAAAGGGAGAGATTTCCAAGCTGAGCCAGGCTGGTGCAGGAATTCTGGGAGTTGAAGTCCACCAGTCATAAAAGAGCCAAGGTTGCCTACCCCTGGTCTAGTGGTTAAAGTGCTGGTTTAGAAAGCAGGAGATGGGGAATTCTAGTCCCACCTTAGGCATGAGAGCCAGCTGGATGACTTTGGGCTAATCACCAGGAGATGGCGAGTCTTAATCCCATCTTAAGGTAGGAAAGCCAGCTGGGTGACTCTATGCCAGGGGTAGGCAACCTTGGCTCTTTTACGATTTGTGGACTTCAACTCCCAGAATTCCTGAGTCAACATGGCTGGTTCAGGAATTCTGGGGATTGAAGTCCACAAGTCATCGAAGAGCCAAGGTTGCCTACCCCTGCATTCTATGCCAATCACCAAAAGATGATGAGTTCTAGTCCCGCCTTAGGCATGAAAGCTGACTGGGTAGGCCAATCACCAGAAGATGGAGAGTTCTAGTCACACCTTAGGCATGAAAGCCGGCTGGGTGACTTTGGGCCTATCCCCAGGAGACTGTGAGTTCTAGCCCCACTTTAGCATGAAAGCCAGCTGGGTGACTTTGGGCCAATCACCAGTTGATCTGAGTTCTAGTTCTGCCTTAGGCATGAAAGACGGCTGGGTGACTTTGGGCCAATCTCTAAAAGGGATGGTGATTCTTAGTCCTGCCTTAGGTCTGAAAGCTGGCTGGGCTAACCACCAGGAGAAGCAAATTCTAGAAATCTTGTTTTGCTGCAATCACGGCAATCGTTAAGCTGGTTCAACTTTTGCCATTGACTTGGTCGATGGGAAGCTGGCTGAGAAGATTGCCCAGGACGATCACGTAACTCCGGGACGCTGCAACCGTCGCCAATACTTGCTGGTTGGCAAGTGTTCCAATTTTGACATGGCCATGAGGCTGTTGCCACAGGTACAAACGCAAACACCCCTTTCTCAGAGCTGTTGTAACTCTGAATCGTCGCTAAATCAATGTTTGTAAGTTGAGAACTACTTGTCGCTCCCTACATCCTGGTCTTGACCATCCTGCGGATGTCCCCTTGCTGTTCTCCTGGGGCACCGTCAGTGCCCCCTGCCCCCCGTTTCTTGCTCCCGAACCTACCTCCTGAGGCCGCCCTGCCACGGCACTGGGGACAGTGGTTTGTCCCCAAGATCTTTTCTCTTCCACGGGAAGTTTAACGTCATCTGAGGACCTCTCGCCTTCGGCTGAAAGCTCCACGCAAGGCTTCGGTGGCTTTGTTTCGACGGAAGAGGAAACGTTCAAAACTGAAGGCGGAAGACGAATTGGATGTTCGGACATAGGGCTGGGGACGGGGCGGCGAGGCTTAGCTCCCGTCTGAGTAAAGGATGGCTGGGCGCCGTTCGCTGGAGAGCTGCAAGATGAAGAATCCGTGAAGACTCGCGTCTGGTCTTCTGCTGACCTAGGGGAAGCTGCACAGAAACAACAGGGCGACACAATTTATTTACACACCAGTCACACACTACGTAATAATAATAATAATAATAATAATAATAGTAGTAGTAGTAGTAGTAGTAGTAGTAGTAGTAGTAGTAGTAGTAGTAGTAGAAAATGATAAAATTAAACTGCTCTGGGACTTCAGAATTCAAACAGACAAGCACCTGCAACATAACACCCCAGACTTAACAATTGTCGGTAAGAAAGACAAATAAAGTCTGGATAGTGGACGTGGCAGTGCCTGGAGAATAGACGAGAAAGAACTGGAGAAGATAACAAAATACAAAGACCTACAAATAGAAATAGAAAGACTGTAGCAAAAGCAAGCAAGGGTAGTACCAATAGTAATAGGCGCCTTGGGTGCAATCCCAAAACAACTGGAGCACCACTTGAACACCATCGGCATTGACAAATTCGCTATTAGTCAATTGCAAAAGGCGGCCTTACTAGGAACTGCTTCCATCCTGCGACGATATCTGTAATACCATCAAACATCCCCATCTGCCTATCCCAGGTCTTGGGTAAGGACTCGATAGGCAGACAAAATGCCAAATCCAATCTGAACATCTGGCTGACTGTGCAATGATCCATAATAATAATAATAATAATAATAATAATAATAATAATAATAATAATAATAATAATAATAAAGTTGGGAAGGATCTTGGAGGTCACAGCGATTGGCTTAACAACCCATGTCAAAACGGGTCGTAAGCGGAGGACTATACTGATGTTACAGCATTTTTAAAAAATATATTTTATTTTAGATTTAGGATTTAAGTCCACTGTGACTGGACGATGCCCTGGGGGTAGGAAGCCGTGTTACGAATCAAATGTCGGTTTGTTTGTCCCGGTGAAGAATATCTAGGGGCCAGAACTGAATTTTGGGTTATTTGGGCTCTCTGAGCTTGGTGATTTTTCCTGAAGACATTTTAGAATCAAACTAGGGAATGTCATCAGTGCTAGTAGGCAGAAGGGTTAGATCAGGAGTCTTCAAACTCAGACCTTTTATGACTTGTGGACTTCAACTCCCAGAATTCCTCAGCCAGCGTACCTGGCTAAGGAATTCTGGGAGTTGAAGTCCACAAGTCATAAAAGGGCCAAGTTTGAAGACCCCTGCTATAGACTTTAAGAGGAGTGGACTTCAACTCCCAGAATTCCTCAGCCAGCGTGCCTGGCTGAGCAATTCTGGGAGTTGAAGTCCACAAGTCATCAAAGGGCCGAGTTTAAAGACCCCTGGTCTATGTGAACCTCCCCTTTGGGGGTTCGCGCCCAGTTTTTCACCTGGCAGATTTTTCTCCTGTTTGTCCAGGTGACGGTCCACAACCAGCCGGTTTTCTTGCTTCCGATCTCCTCGGAGAACGTGGACCTGGCGTTCTTCCACCAAATCCTCTCTCTGATTGGCCAAAGGTAACAAGACACTATCGCTCGAATAATCATCCTCTTCGGGTTGATTACCAGAAGCGCCAGCGGGCAACGTTGAAACTGTCCCGCCATTGTCTGGGTGGTGCACGTTCCCAAAACGTCCGTTTTTCACCGTCACCGGGCGGTGTTGGCGCCCGTCCCACTTCTGCTCCACGGGACCCCCCGCAGCTGATGTTGAAGTGGTTGGGGGACGAAGCGGCCTCCTTCCCACGGGACCTTGGAACGGAAGAGACTGTTCTTCTGCAAGACATAGATCTTGAGACTCAGGGGCTCTGTCCCTTCCGGCAGTCGCTCCGATGTCAGATGCCGAATGGCCGTCGGAAGTCGAGGAAAAACCAGCCTCTCCTTTGTCTGCGCTCTGCAAAGGAGGAAGGGATGAATGCTAATTTAATTTTACAGATTGTGCGTGTGTCTGCGTGTGTGTTTATATATAATTTACGTTATATAAAAATATTGATACCGATATTGATATATATAAAAATATAAGAAAAAGGAACACCAGGATAAAAATAATATAAACAAGCCTGTGAGTAAAAAAAGTTACCTTGCTGAGCTTTCATCAGCCAAACTACTGACATCATCAGAGTTAGAATGCTAGCTGATTAGGGAGCTTGCCTATATACCAGTGGTTCTCAACCTTTTTAATGCCGTGAGCCCCAACCGGTCATAAGTCGAGGACTACTCAACTGGTGCAGCACCATTTGCAGAATGGGATTTTTGGTGGGCTCAGCAGGGCAGAGACAGCCTGGACAATTCCTATTAGCTTTTGAAAGCCAATAGAATTAGACTCTATTCAAGAGAGTCTATTCTATTGGCTTTCAAAAGCCAATAGAATAAAAGGGAGTAGCACAGCTAAGGAAAAGGGGGGAAAAAATGGAGGACTGCGTTGTTTGGCGACCCCCGTGAAATGGTCGTTCAACCCCAAATGGGGTCCCAACCCACAGGTTGAGAACCACTGGTTTAATATAAACAAGCCTGTGAGTAAAAAAGTTACCTTGCTGAGCTTTCATCAGCCAAACTACTGACGTCATCAGAGTTAGAATGCTAGCTAATTAGGGAGCTTGCCTATATACAGCTGCCTGTCTCCGCGCCCAGCTCCTCCAGCGCGTCATCAGCCCATTAGCTATGTTACTTTGCAATGTGTTAAATTGATTCTCATCCGGCAGCCTGTTGGTGGATCTGATGATTGTAGTTCCCTCTCCCTGATCCTGCAAAGAACAACTATTCAGATGTTCCTGCTTCATACCCCTCCTTTTTTTTTGTCTCTCCTTCCAAGCCGTTCGTCGTCTCCTCCCATAGCAGCTCCTGCCACCTCACCTGCAGCCCTGTCACTCCAGTCCTGCCAGTTGCTATCTCGTTGTGGTGTCACCCGGGCCCCCCTTCTCTTTTGCCAGTTCGCTGTCCTCTCTGGGGATCGCAGCTTCCCCATTTGTAGAGCCATTGTCTTGCTTTTGCACCGTATGGGATAGCGATCTACTCTGTGGATTACCATGTTGTTTCTCCCATCTTCTGAGCGTCTGGTATGCTGGTAGGAGGTCTATGTGCCGGGTGATGGAATCTATCTATCTATCTATCTATCTATCTATCTATCTATCTATCTATCTATCTATCTATCTATCTATCTATCTATCTCTATCTCTATATATCTATCTATCTATCTCTATTTTATCTGTCTCTCTCTCACTATCCATCTATCTATCAATCTATCTATCATCTATCTGTCTCTGTCTCTCTCTCACTATCTATCTATCTATCTATCTATCTATCTATCTATCTATCTCTATGTCTATGTCTCTCTCACTATCTATCTATCTATCTATCTATCTATCTATCTATCATCTATCTCTATCTCTATGTCTCTCTCTCACTATCTATCTATCTATCTATCTCTATCTCTCTCTCTCTCTCTCTCTCTATCTCTCTATCTATCATCTATCTATCATCTATCTCTATGTCTATGTCTCTCTCTCACTATCTATCTATCTATCTATCTATCTATCTATCTATCTATCTATCTATCTATCTATCTATCTCCTGGCTTTTAAACCGGGAGCCCGAAAAGCAAAGAGCAAGCTGGGGAGCAAACAAATGTACAAAATGAAGAAATAAATTACAATTAATATATATTAAATATAAAATGGTAAAATAAAATAAAAATAATAAAAATAAAATAAATGTATACATACCTCAGGATGTACAGCTGACTTGCTCTTTCCGGCTGGATGGCTGTTTTCTTGAACGGGAGTCCGGTAATCTCCGGTATCCTGGGGGGGCGGATTGGCAGGTGAAGCAGCCAGTTGTGAGGGAAAGATAGGACGGGCTTCGGGAATAAACACAGGAGACCTGGGAGGCGGAGCTGAAGGCCGATTGACAGCCACGGGTGCTGAAGCTGCTGGAGGGGTCCTTGGCGAGGCTGAGGGAGGACGTCGTTGCACGCAGAAGGACATTAAATGTGGAAGAGAGAGAGGGAAAGGATAGAGTGTCAGCCCTACTAGGCAGACCAGACAGGAAATTGCCACCAGATGACCTAATTCCACTTTACAGACAGTCCTCGACTTACAACCATTCCGTTTAGTGACCATTCGAAGTTACAACAGGAAAACTGAAAAACAAATTTGGCTTAGGATGGTTTTTCACACTTACGACCGTTGCAGCATCCTCATGGTCACATGATCAGAATTCGGCTGCTTAGGAATTGGCTCATATTTACGACGGTCGCAGTGTCCACGGGGGTCACTGATTCCCCTTTTGCGACCTCCTGACGAGCAAAGTCAACGGGGGGAGTCAAATTCGCTGAACGACCGTGTGACTAACTTAACATCTGCAGTGATTCGCTTAACAACGGTGGGAAGGCAGGCCGTAAAAAGGGGGCAAAACTCCCTTAACCGCTGTCTCATTTAGCCAAGAGAAATGTTGAGCTCAATTGTGATCGTTAAGCCGAGGACCATCTTGTACTGTAAAATTATCCAGCTCAGGGCTATGCTCCCTATCAGAGCGTGCACAATCTTAATTGCGCTGAGATAACCCAGGAGTAAACACAGTAAACAGTGGTTTGTATTAAATGGTGGTTTATCTTACACCGTCTACAATCTCAATACCCTGCTTGCTCTTAAGGAGACATAGAACCTGCTTGCTCTTAAAGAGACACAGACCCAGCTGGCTCTTAAAGAGACACAGATCCTTCTTGCTCTTAAAGTGACACAGACCCAGCTGGCTCTTAAAGGGCACAGACCCTGCTGAGTCATTCCCATCATTACATCTTACAGCTGGTTGGCTTTTAAATCATTACATTGACACTCCCTCTTATCTGACTGTAGCCTAGCTAGGTATATCTTGGTTCTGTCTCCCAAAACCTTTCCCACATACAAGCAGTCCCTAACTTACGACCATTCATTGAGCCCACAGCTAACCAAACTTGGCAACATTTGATACTTGTCGACTTCAACTCCCAGAGCCCCTCAGCAGGACCGGCTGAAGAATTCTGGAAGTTGAAGTCCGCAAGTCTTCAAAGTTGCCAGGTTTGGAGCCCCCCTGATTTAGCCATTGTTCAGTTAACCACGGCCTTGAAAAAAGGGACATGATTGGTTCTCGCCATTTATAGCCAGGGCAGCGTCTCCACGGTCACATGCTCCTAATTCAGGAGCTTGGCAACCCGCATCTCAGCATCCCAGGGTCACGTGATCCTCTTTTGCGACCTTCAAAGGGGGAAGGCAGGTTCACTTAACAGCCCATACGATTCACTTCACAAAACTCACTGATCCTCGAACGAGAGACTGTCTCTTAGGGAGAGAACCAACCTAAAACTAAGGAGAAATTTCCCGACAGTGAGAACAATTAACCAGCGGAACTGTCTGCCTCCAGAAGTTGTGGGTGCTCCAACACTGGAGGTGTTTAAGAAGAGATCGAACAACCCCGTCTGAAATGGTATAGGGCAGTGATGGCGAACCTTTTAGAGACCGAGTGCCCAAACTGTAACCCAAAACCCACTTATTTATCGTTGGGTGCCAGGTGGGCGTGGCCCCCTGGGTGGTCATGGCTGTGGTGGTCATGGCAGACTGGGTGGGTGTGGCCAAGGTGGGAGTGCGTGGAGAGGGACTCCTGTGAAGGCCAGGCAGGGTTGGGGGAGATCCAGGGGGTCTCTGGCAGGTGGGACGGTGGGCAGGCTAATCCTGCGGGGTGAGGCGAGGCAAAGCGAGGCACGGTGGGGGTCCCATTGTCGCAGGGCAAGGCAAGGCACCATCAGCCCCCACACACAGATGCCAGTGAGTACATGGGGGCTGACAGCATCCTTCAGTAGCCACAGCCTGCCGGCCCCTCAACCGGCGCACTCTGGGGCTCCGCAGCCCGCCACCAGCAGTTCAGAGAAGCCGCCTGAGCTGGATGGCTGGCCAACAGCTGAGGAAGCGATGCAGTGAGTCGCGCCCGGGAAAAGGAGAGCGTGAGAGGCCAGGAGGGATGGGACGGGGGGGGGAGAGAAACCAGCCGTGCTGGGATGCATCCGGCCACGTGGGACCTCGGTGAGTTAGCGGCCAGCTGATTGAAGAGGGACAGTTGCCATCTCCAGGGCATGGCGCGTGTGCCCACAGAGAGGGCTCTGAGTGCCGCCTCTGGCACACGTGCCATAGGTTCGCCACCACTGGTATAAGGTCTCCTGCCTGAGCAAGGGGCTGGACTAGAGGACCTCCAAGGTCCTTTCCCACCCTTTGCTATTCTTAACAACTGTGGCAAAAAAAACATATGATTGTAAAATGGGATTCAACTCACTTAACAACTGCCTCACTTAGCAACGGAAATTCTGCTCCCAACTGTGGTCGTAAGTCAAGGACTACCTGTATAGCAGGGTTGGCTACCGGAGAAGACAAATATTTTAGGCAGGGATGAACAAATCCATTCTACCCAAGCCCTTGCTTCTTTATTTGAGACCTCCAAATCCTTCCAGACCTTCTTTTTGAGGGGGGGCAGTTGGCTTGGGTGGAGGGGGGTGGTCCCAAGGATTGCAAAACCTCACAAAGCCCAGCTTTTCACCCCCCCCCCAGGAGCCCAATCCACCTGATTTGCAACAGAAGAAAAAAGCAGCTTACGGAGGAGGTTAGCGCGATACACGCTTTCCAGCTTGTCAGCCAAGTCGCCCATGTTCTGCTCACGGAGAGCCTCCACGAACTGCGGCACCCAGCCATCCCGGCAGCACAAGCATTGAAAGAAATCGAACGTGGTCATGTTGTTTCCCTCGTTGGTGCAGGTCGCTCGGATCTTTTGCTATGAAAGAGAAAGAACAAAAGGTAAGATCGGGATAGGTTCCTCCCATCCAGTCGTACCGTCTCCGCTTCTTCACTGAGGGAGCCGGCGTTAGTCCGAAGACACTTCCGTGGGTCGTATCGTCGACACGACGGTGCGCCGAGACTCGCAGAAGGCCGTTACCTTCCCAATGAAGTGGCACCTATTTGTCTACTCGCATTCGCATGCTGTTATGATTCCTTGTCAGCCTGTGTTCCTGGTAATTGAGTCTGGGGAATCAGAGGAGGAGGAGGGGCCTGGAGAGCCATCAGAGTCGGAGGGAGGCTCTGATGAGCTGCAGGACATACAAACTAATGAAGAGGCTGGTCCTTCCACTCGTGATCAAGCTGAGAGCCAGCTGTGCTGGGAAGCTGAGTCGGATTCGGAGGAAGCACAGCTGGAAGCCCTCAGAGACGCTCATAAACGTAAGCATGTCACACGAGTAGGACAGAGGGAGGCAAATGGGGCGACTCCAGGGGAAGAGGAGAAAGCAATGAGAAGCCACGCCTTGGGGGCCCCGTTAACAAAAAGGGAATGTGTGGGCAGGTCTGGCTGCTGGAGGCAACGGTTTGCAAAGAACTTCAGTGTCAAGAGATCATGGTCTGTCTGTTTTGCCTGTGAGTTATTGCCTGTTTGACTCGTACTCCGTTTTGCTTTTGGACAAGGTCTCCCGTTGGAAAAGTGTTCTGTTGCTTTGGTTTTTCTGGGACAGTTATCAGGTCTGTAACTCAAATAAAAAGGGTTTATTTTCCAGTCTACTGTTAAAAGAGGGGTTGTCTTTGTGAAGTAACAAGGACGTACGTAGGCTGGGACAGAACACATGCTTTCGAACAGCTAGGTGGACAGGTGCTAGGGCAAATACCGGTGGTCTCGACTTAAAAAACAGTTCATATACTGGGAAATCGAAACTGGGTCGGGTACCGGGACCAAAATTTTATTCTTCCAAGCTTTCTGACTCATGCTGGGAATTTCCCTCTACTGGAATATGTGCTTTGGGCTGTTCAGACTCGTGTTTATGTATGCGCGGGTTTGTTTACTGACTGTTCAAAGTTAAAATGGCACTGAAAAAAGTGTGGACTCAGTGTGTTGTGTGATGGCTATCAAGTTGGCGGGGTTTTTTTGTGTTCTTTCATTTAGTGAGCTTGCAAAACGCAATAAAATTAAAGTAATGGTGGCAAAGAGTTGACCGGTCGCCCAGAAAGCGATGTAAAATAGTGTTATTAAGTGAACAAGGCTACAGTTATAAAGAAATTAGAAGAAAAATGGGTGGAAACTTAACCAAAGGTGGCATTTTAATAATAATAATAAAGTTGGAAGGGACCTTGGAGATCATCTAGTCCAACCCTCTGCTCAGGCAGGAAACCCTATACCATTTCAGATAAATGGCTACCCAGTCTCTTATTGAAAATTTCCAGTGTTGGAGCAGTCACCGCTTCTGGAGGCAGGTGGTTCCACTGGTTAATTGTTTTCACTGTCAGGAAGTTTCTCCTTAGTTCTAGGTTGCTTCTCTCCTTGGTTAGTTTCCCTCCCTTGCTTCTTGTCCTGCCTTCAGGCGCTTTGGAGAATAGCTTGACTCCCTCTTCTTTGGGGTAGCCCCACACTGTACACTTTTCCCAAAAGATTTCCACAATTTTGGCCACTACTGTACGTAAGCTATCAATATCAAAAACTCAAAAAATCTTGACCAGCGGCACTAATTTTTTACACAAGGGATCCTGAGTTGAAAACAATCCTGTAATTACCCTGTCTGTCTCCGTCAAACAACGCAAGTGGATCATTTGGCTGAATCGGACGCGATGGAACATGGCTAGATTGCGGTATACATATTTCTTCACCTCGTCTTCAGCAAATCCGCTTCCCCGGACAGACATCTTGAGTTAGTAACTAGGAAAAAGAACAGTAATAGCTTAATTTAAGATGACAGGCAGTTCTCGACTTACAACAGTTCATTTAGTGATAGATTCAAAGTTACAACAGCACTGAAAAAAGTGACTTGTGACTATCACACTTGCAACCGTTGCCAGCATCCCCGTGGACATATAATCAAAAGTCAGGCCCTTGGCAACTGACTCATATTTATGACGGTCGCAGTGTCCCGGGGTCACATGATCTGCTTTTGCGACCTTCCGACAAGCAAAGTTAATGGGCAAACCAGATTCAACTGAAATAATGCATCCTGGTTAGAATGTGTTTGTCCCCAGGCAGAATAATATTACACACCGTTTCAATATTACTGACATTAAAAAAAAAATTAAATAGAGGCTAGGATTTTTCAGGATGCAGGAGAAAAAGCCTTCGACAAGTGGAATGGCTTTTAAGAAAATTGGCTGCAGTTCACGTTTTCTGGCAAGGATTCCTCAATTTATTTTTAGTGGTCTTAGAACCCGGAATTAAATTAGCAAAGCAAGAACATAAATTGAAATAATTTGCTGGTGACACTGTGCTCACAATTATTCAGCCAAAGATCCGGAACTGATAGCAGTTTTTCCAATTAACAAACTTTTCAAAAAAATCAGATTTATCTCCAAGAAAGCAAAAACGATTGAACTGAAAAAAAAATTTGACTTGTTTAGATCTATTTTTTTCTTTCAAATTTGGCGGCTTTAAGGCATGTGGACTCAGCTCCCAGAATTCCCTAGCCTGGGAGTTGAAGTCCACACATCTTAATAGTTATCTGGTTTCAGAAACACTTGTTTAAGATTGAAAAGCAGAGAAGTATGTTGCGGTATGGAAAAAAATGGATAGATTTTATACAACATAAGTTGGATATAAAAAAATATTACTTAGTTTTTTAACAATTTATATTTAAAATGGAATGTTTTGTTTTTTTTTCTTTTTTTGTTCTTTTTTCCTTTTTTTAAATTCTTTTCCTTTCTAAACATTTATTTTTTGTATTCATGTTTTTTTTATATATATATACTATTGTTAATTATTTTATAATTTTTCTAATTAATGTATTTAGATTTCTAACTAATGTTAGATTCATTTATGGTTTATATCTTTTTTAAGATTTTTTGATGAAATTTTAATTAAGCCTATATTCAGCTCTGGGAAGGTCGGGGGAGGGAATGGGAGGGTTGGGGAGGTTGGGGGGAAGATTGTTTTGTTTTTGTAAAATTTCAAAAATTTAATAAAAATTATCTTTGAAAAAAAAAAGATTGAAAAGCTAAATGTCTCTTGGCTGGGAAGAATTCAATTATTAAAAACAAGCATCCTATCAAGAATTTTCTTTTTTGAATGATTCTAGTGCAGATAGACAAATAGATGAGCGGCATAAACAAATATTAAAATACGTACACACCTGTAAAGAAATATAATAAAAGCTTAGCAGAAAATGGGTGCAAAAAAGGATATTTAAAGGTTGAAGTCCTTGACTTACGACAACAATGGAGCCCAATATGTCTGTTGCTAAGCGAGACAGTTGTTAAGTGAGTTTTGCCCCATTTTACCACCTTCGCAGGGACACTGCGATGATCATAAATACGAACCGGTTGCCATGGGGATGCTGCCACGGTCATTAAGTGTGAAAACTGATCGTGAAGTCACTTTTTTCAACGCTCTTTCTAATTTTGAGCATTCTCTGAACGAATGGCCGCTAAGTCTAAGACTGTATTTGAAATATAAAATGCTTTTTAATGCTGGGTGCTCTTTGTCAGTTATAAGTCTTTGCAGCATTCTCTTTCCATTAAATAATGTTATTATCTTTCTTGTGCAATGAAAAAGTCACAACTGCTTTCAGAAACCGATAAGGACTTGGCACTTCCTAAGAAAGGCGTTTGATGGTCATTCAACTGCCACTTTTAAAAGGGCATTCGGTTGCAGGCTGTTTGCACACTTGTGTTGCCAACATACAAACAGCAGCCGGCAAAGATGCCATTTTGCAAAGCTAACTGTCCCTTCCTTGGTATCTCCTCGGTGGACTCCCAGTTCTTGAGATTATCTGAGCTGCCCATAAACCTGCTGGCACAGGGCTCTCCAACTTGGATAACTTTTAAGACTTGTGGACTTCAATTCCCAGAATTCCTCAGCCACCCATACCACTGAAGCCTGGGAGTTGAAGTCCACGAGTCTTGAAAGTTGCCAAGGTTGGAGAACTCTGTGGGTAGCAGACCTCCCGCCATTTACCTCCGTGTAGGCCAATGTTTCCACATAAAACACTAAAGATTAACTTCCAGAAAGTTTGAGAAAGAGAACAAGGTGGACTAGCGGCTCCAAATTTCAAATTTGTTAGTGCTTAATACGGGTCTCCATTATGGATCAGTTTACTTCAGGGGTAGTCAATCTTGGTTCTTTTATGACTCCTGGACTTCAACTCCCAGAATTCCTGGGCCAGCCATGCTGAGGGGAAAGGGCGGTTTTCAAGCTGAGCCCTGCTGGCTCAGGAATTCTGGGAGTTGAAGTCCATGAGTCAGAAAGCAGCCTAGGCCTAGGCCAGAGTAGGCAACCTTGGCTCTTTTATGACTCGTGGACTTCAACTCCCAGAATTCCTGAGCCAGCCATGCTGAGGGGAAAGGGAGAGGTTTCCAAGCTGAGCCATGCTGGCTCAGGAATTCTGGGAGTTGAAGTCCACGAGTCATAAAAGAGCCAAGGTTGACTACCCCTGGTTTACTTCAACCAGAGCAGGACTTCTAAACAATAGGCAGAAAGATCGTTGGGCTGAGGCAAAGAGGAAAAAAAAGTTTATTAAGAAGTCATAAGAGAGCCAGTTTGGCTTAGTGGTTAAGGCTGCAGGCTGGAAAATGGGAGACAGTGAGTTCTAGTTCTGCCTTTGGAACAAAAGGTGGCTGGGTGACTTTGGGCCAATCACCAGGAGACTATGAATTCTAGTCCCGCCTTAGGCATGAAAGCCAGCTGGCTGACTTTGGGCCTGTCACCAGAAATGGTGAGTTCTAGTTCTGCCTTAGGCATGAAAGCCGGCTGGGTGACTTTGGGCCAATCACCAGGAGACAGTGAGTTCTAGTCCCGCATTAAGCATGAAAGCGGGCTGGGTGACTTTGGGCCAATCACCAGGAGACTATGAATTCTAGTCCCGCCTTAGGCATGAAAGCCAGCTGGGTGACTTTGGGCCAATCACCAGGAGACTGTGAATTCTAGTCCCACCTTAGGTATGAAAGCTGGCTGGGTGACTTTGGGCCTATCACTAGGAGACGGTAAGTTCTAGTCCCACCTCAGACATGAAAGCCTACTGGGTGATTTGGGGGCCAATCCACCAGGAGACGATGAGTTCTAGTCCTGCCTTAGGCACGGAAACTAGCTGAACCACTAGGTCAATCATTCTCGCTCTGCCCAACCCACTTTACAGTGGGGAAAATAAGAGGAAGAAGCGATATTCTGCTGCCTTGTTTTTTTAATAAAAACAATTCAGAAAGGCGGGACGTAAACTAAATAAATAAACGGATGTTATGCTGAATGTCTGGGACAATCACACAGAAAGATTAAGTGCAGATTTTTCTCCCGTTACATGATTATTAAATGTCTATTTTCATGATTATTAAATGTCTATTTTCATGACGTGGAAAATAATCAGGAATGCTCTCTCACTGGAAAGTTAATAAGCTCATTCAGGACAGAAGATTTATTTGTAACAAGACAAAGATAAAATCTGCCGAGACTCTCTTGGGTTTATTTACTTTGGTTTACCTACCTCATGGAGAGACATGACTGCATTTCCAAATCTCATAACACACAAATTCCAACGTCTTATTTATAAAATGTTGGGGAAATACAATTTAGAACAGGGGTCTTCAAACTTGGCCCTTTTAGGACTTGTGGACTTCAACGCCCAGAATTCCTCAGCCAGCTTGCCTGGCTGAGGAATTCTGGGAATTGAAGTCACAAGTCATCAAAGGCCCAAGTTTGAAGACCCCTGATATAGACTTTAAGAGGAGTGGACTTCAACTCCCAGAATTCCTCAGGGGAATTCCCCCGGAATTCTCCTCTCCTTTGAGAGAAAATTGCAAAAGCAAATTCTTTTGGAGCTACGTCAACAATTTGTTAAGAACCTTGCTGGAATCCCAGCATCAGTGGATCTCACAACAACTTCAGCAGGTATCAAAATAGAAGGGGGGGAGGAGGAAGGAGAGAGAGAAAGAGAGATAAGAGAGAAAAAGAGAAAGAAAGAATGAGAGAAAAGGACAATGAAAGAGGCAGTGACGGAGATGAGAAAAAAGAAAGAAGAGAGAAGAGCGAAGGAGAAAGAAAGAACAAAAGAGAAGAGAAAGAACGAAAGGAAAGGAAGGGAGAAGGGAGAAGAAAGGAAAGGAAGAGGGAAGGGAAAGGTTATTGTTACTGGGAAAACAGAAAGAACAAAAGGAAAGAAAAGGAAAGGAGAGGAGAGGGGAGGGGAGGAAAGGAAGAGGGAAGAGAAAGGAAAGGAAGAGGGAAGAGAAAAAAAGAGAAGGAAAGAAAGAGGGAAAGGAAAGGAAGAGGGAAAGGAAAGGAAAGGAAGAGAGAAGGGAGAAGAAAGGAAAGGAAAGGAAGAGGGAAGAGAAAGGAAAGGAAGAGAGAAGGGAGAAGAAAGGAAAGGAAGAGGGAAGAGAAAGGAAAGGAAGAGAGAAGGGAGAAGAAAGGAAAGGAAGAGGGAAGAGAAAGGAAAGGAAAGGAAAGGAAGAGAGAAGGGAGAAGAAAGGAAAGGAAGAGGGAAGAGAAAGGAAAGGAAAGGAAGAGAGAAGGGAGAAGAAAGGAAAGGAAGAGGGAAGAGAAAGGAAAGGAAAGGAAGAGAGAAGGGAGAAGAAAGGAAAGGAAGAGGGAAGAGAAAGGAAAGGAAAGGAAGAGAGAAGGGAGAAGAAAGGAAAGGAAGAGGGAAGAGAAAGGAAAGGAAAGGAAGAGAGAAAGGGAGAAGAAAGGAAAGGAAGAGGGAAGAGAAAGGAAAGGAAAGGAAGAGAGAAGGGAGAAGAAAGGAAAGGAAGAGGGAAGAGAAAGGAAAGGAAAGGAAGAGAGAAGGGAGAAGAAAGGAAAGGAAAGGAAGAGGAAAGAGAAAGGAAAGGAAAGGAAGAGAGAAGGGAGAAGAAAGGAAAGGAAGAGGGAAGGGAAGGGAAAGGTTATCGTTACTGGGAAAACAGAAAGAACAAAAGGAAAGGAAAGGAAAGGAAAAGAAAAGAAAGGGTTACTGGGAAAACAGAAGGGGGGAAGAACTATTGGGTACCTCCACCAGCTTTGTGTTGCTTATTTTAAAAAGTAATAAAGGCAAGATAGTATCTCCTCAATATTTTTTTTCAGAAAAATCATTTGAGCTTGAAATTCTGGGATTTGGGTTTTTTTCCCTTTTTTAAAAAAAACCCTGATCTCCAGATTGATGGGGGGGGGGGGGAGGAACTGAACTTCAGGCAGCCAATTTCTAGACCAGGGGTGTCAAACTCAATTTCATTGAGGGCCGCATCAGCATTGCAGTTGCCCTGGGGGGGGGGGGGTTGGCCAAGGCGGGTGTGGCCTACTGGGTGGGCGTGGCTGGAGTGGGTGTGGCCTACTGGGTGGGCGTGGCCAGCTCTACATCGTTCGCATCAAGGGGGCCTGTGGGGGCCTGGGCAGGAGTGGGACAGATCTGGGGGTCTCTGGCAGAAGGGGGTTTGGACCGGGGCAGAGCCCATCAAGCCGGATAGGTGAAGCAGGCGAGGGCCATTTGCTGGCCACTTCCAGGCGATGGTGCATTTCTTCATTCCTCACAAAGGGGGACCCCTCCCCAGCATGCACCCAGGGGACGGGGGGCGACGCGGCAGGGGCTGGTTCCTCGCTGTTTCCAGACGGCCTTGTGGAGCTAAGACTGAACGCTTTTCAGCATAGATGGCCACCACAAAATTGTACATTGGCTCCCGGCCGGCCTGGGCCAGGGCCAAGGCAGCAGGGGCCGTTCCCTCACTGTTTCCAGGATGGCTTCACGGGCCACATGAAACCACTTCACGGGCCGCATCCGTCCCCCCGGACTTGTGTTTGACATGTCTGGTCTAGATTTTTGAGCAGCTCTGGAAACTGTTGCCTCCTCCACCTTCTCCTCTTCCTCTTTTCCTCCTCTGGGCGTTTGCAAACCTCGTGTTTCCTTTTTGGGAAGACCTTGACCGCTAACAGCAAGCAGCAAAGAAAAAAAAAAACCAAGCCAATTTCTCTCCAGCTCATTTCAGGGACTTTCCTGGCCTTCGGTCCTTTCAGCAAAAGAGCCCCCCCCCCCAAAAAAAACAAGCCAGGATGGTTTTCCCTGCTGCAATCCTGGTTAAAGTGCAAACTTGCAATAATAATAATAATAATAATGCGATGATCCATCATCATCATCAATAAATAAACCCAAACGCTTCTCGTTAACAACGGAAGCCTTTCTTTTTTCTTTTTTTTTTTTTTTGCAGCTTTTAAACCTAGATCGGTGGGAAATAAAACGACGGCGGTGGGGGGGGGGGAGAGAGCGGGGGAGGACTTTCCAAGTCCGGAAGTTCAGCCTCTAAGCCAGCAAAATCAGGGCCGATTTCCAGATGACGATTAAGAGTTGGTCCACCAGTGCAAAATAAATAAATAAATAAATCCCTCTCTTTGCAAAACAGAAAAAAAAAGGACCGTTCCGACAACGGATCGGTTACGTAGACTCGAGTCCTGCATTTCTGCAGGGTTTGGGGTTCCCCCCCCCCCAGTCTCTGCCTCCGCTCGTGTGATTCACACGTGACGGCCTCGCCTCCAGCCAGGCGCGGAGAGAGAGCCCGCGGCAACTGGGCGGCTGGCGCGTTTTAATGAACCCGCGTTAACTGAAACGCACCCTAGCTGGTCGAGGGCTAACACTCGCGCGCCTGATCGTGTGAACGCCCCCCCCTTTAACCTCCCTTTGCTTCTTCTTCTTCTTCCCCCGCCTCCCCCCCCCCAAACTCCCGGGTCACTTTTGCAAAGTTCACACGCGACCGTGCTGCACCCGTTTTGCAGGCGCCACGGGGGACGCCGAGCAAGAACAACTAGGAGGGGGCGAGGAAGGAAAAGCGGGGTTATTCCGGGGTAAACCCTTCTGCGACCTTTTTTTTTTGCAAGCGGTGGAGGGCGGGTGGCTGCCGCTGGATGCGCGACTTTCCCCCTTCTCCGGGTCTCTGGCCCCCTTGTTTTTACCTGCTCCGGAGGCCTCGGGGGAGATTCTAGTCGGACTAGGCCGGCGGCTGCAAACGGCGGAAAGTCTGCCTTTTCCAGGGGAAGGTTCTCAGCCCGCCCCCTGCCCGCCTCCCATTGGCTACGGCGTTTCCGCTCGGCCCGTTTGGAACGTTGGGTTACCAATGGCCAGGAGGCGAGGAGAGGGAGGGAGGGAGGGAGAGAGAGAGAGAGAGAGAGAAGAGGAAAGAGGGAGAGGTTGGAAGGGAAGAGGGAGGGAGAGGGAAGGGGAGAGAAAAAGGGAGGGAGAGGAAGGAGAAAGGGGGAAGGGAGAGAGAGGGATGAAGATAAGGGGAGGGGAAGAGGGAGAGAAGGAGAGAGAGAAGGGGAGGGTGGAAGTAGGAAGGGGCGAGGGAGAGAGGGATGGAGGTAAGGGGAGAGGGAGAGAAGGAGGGGAGAGGGAGGAGGAGAGAGAAGGGGAGGGTGGAAGTAGGAAGGGGCGAGGGAGAGAGGGATGGAGGTAAGGGGAGAGGGAGAGAAGGAGGGGAGAGGGAGGAGGAGAGAGAAGGGGAGGGTGGAAGTAGGAAGGGGCGAGGGAGAGAGGGATGGAGGAAAGGGGAGAGGGAGAGAAAGAGGAGGGGAGAGAAGGAGGGGAGACGGGGAGAGGGAAGAGGAGAGAAAAGGAGAGAAAGAGAAGGGGTGGAAGTAGGAAGGGGCAAGGGAGAGAGGGATGGAGGTAATGGGAGAGGGAGAGAAGGAGGGGAGACGGGGAGAGGGAAGAGGAGAGAAAAGGAGAGAAAGAGAAGGGGTGGAAGTAGGAAGGGGCAAGGGAGAGAGGGATGGAGGTAACGGGAGAGGGAGAGGAGGAGGGGAGAGAAGGAGGGGAGACGGGGAGAGGGAGGAGGAGAGAGAGAAGGAGAGAAAGAAGGGGAGGGTGGAAGTAGGAAGGGGCGAGGGAGAGAGGGATGGAGGTAAGGGGAGAGGGAGAGAAGGAGGGGAGAGGGAGGAGGAGAGAGAAGGGGAGGGTGGAAGTAGGAAGGGGCGAGGGAGAGAGGGATGGAGGTAAGGGGAGAGGGAGAGAAAGAGGAGGGAGAGAGGGATGGAGGTAAGGGGAGAGGGAGAGAAAGAGGAGGGGAGAGAAGGAGGGGAGACGGGGAGAGGGAAGAGGAGAGAAAAGGAGAGAAAGAGAAGGGGTGGAAGTAGGAAGGGGCAAGGGAGAGAGGGATGGAGGTAATGGGAGAGGGAGAGAAGGAGGGGAGACGGGGAGAGGGAAGAGAGAAAAGGAGAGAAAGAGAAGGGGTGGAAGTAGGAAGGGGCAAGGGAGAGAGGGATGGAGGTAACGGGAGAGGGAGAGGAGGAGGGGAGAGAAGGAGGGGAGACGGGGAGAGGGAGGAGGAGAGAGAAGGAGAGAAAGAAGGGGAGGGTGGAAGTAGGAAGGGGCAAGGGAGAGAGGGATGGAGGTAAGGGGAGACGGGGAGAGGGAGGTGGAAGGGAGAGAGAAGGGGAGAAAGAGAAGGGGAAGGTGGAAGTAGGAAGGGAGGAGTCTCTCTCCCTCCCCCCACCTCACAGGGTTGTTGTGGGGAAAAGAGAAGGAGGAAGGTGTGTTGGATATCTTCACCGTCTTGAATTATTTGTAAAAACAATAAGGGCAGGATATAAGTCAATAAAAAACAATTTCATATTCCCAAATGGCACAAAGGGAGATCCCATGGATATTTCCTTCGTCTGAAAATAGCACCATCCTTCTGGATCCTTTTTGAAATCATGGAACGGAGTTGGATCTTCGTTGATCTTTTGTTCTGGGCTTCAGTTAAACCACAACTTCCTTTGCTTCGATCCATTGATTGAGTGGCATCCAGTCAGCTTTGATTCTTGGCCGCCACAAAGATTTTCTCCACGAAGATCCGTCCTTAAGCTGCACCACACCTGGAATGCGGCAACCAATTTTGGTCACTATACCACAAAAAAGATGTTGAGAGTTTGGAAAAAATTCAGAGAAGAGCAACTAAGAGGATCCAAGGCCTAGAGACAAAAACATACGAAGAACGGCTACGGGACTTGGGTTTGGCTGATCTAAAGAAAAGAAGAAATAGGGAAAACATGATAGCAGTGTTCCAGTATCTGAGGGGCTGCCCCAAAGAAGACAGAGTCAAGCTATTCTCCAAAGGGCCTGAAGGCAGGATGAGAAGCAATGGATACAAACTGATCAAAGAGAGAAGCAATCTGTAGTTAACTTCCTAACAGCGAGGACAATTAACCAATGGAACAGCTTGGCTTCAGAAATTGTGGGTGCTCCATCACTGGAAGTTTTTAACAAGAGACTAGACCAGTGGTTCTCAACCTTTTTAATGCCACGACCCCCAACCGGTCGTAAGTCGAGGACTACTCAACCGGTCGTAAGTCGAGGACTACTCAACTGGTGCAGCACCGTTTGCAGAATGGGACTTTTGGCGGTCTCAGCAGGGCAGAGACAGCCTGGACAATTCCTATTGGCTTTCGAAAGCCAATAGAATGAGACTCTATTCAAGAGAGTCTATTCTATTGGCTTTCCAAAGCCAATAGAATAAAAGGGAGTAGCACAGCTAAGGAAAAAGGGGAAAAAATGGCAGACTGCGTTGTTTGGCGACCCCCGTGAAATGGCCGTTTGACCCCAAATGGGGTCCCGACCCACAGGTTGAGAACTACTGGACTAGACAGTCACGTGTCTGAAAATGGTATAGGTTCTCCTGCTTGAGCAGGGGGCTGGACTAGAAGACCTCCAAGGTCCCTTCTAGCTGTATTCTATTCTATCCTGAACTTCCCTCATTGCTCATGTAAACCAAGTCCATCCACGCTGATTGTCCTCCTCTTCTCTTTCCTTCCACCTTTTGCAGCCTTAGAGTCTTGACCATCCAGTCTCCAGTCTGTGGCTTGATTTAATTTGGAATTGCACCCAAATTTGCCTCAGGTCCTCAAGAGGGATGAAAGATTAACTCCATGGAAACTTAAAAAGACACCCTACACAAGGAACTGCCATGCTACTCCATATGTGCCTGTAATTCTTCATTGCGTCACTAGATGGCACAACAGGGTCAAAACATTCTGAATTTTTCTCCAGAGGAAATGAATCTTCCATCAAGGGTCTTCAAACTTGGTTCTTTTATGACTCGTGGACTTTAACTCCCAGAATTCCTCAGCCAGGCATGCTGGCTGAGGAATTCTGGGAGTTGAAATCTACTCCTCTTAAAGTCTATATCAGGGGTCTTCAAACTTGGCCCTTTGATGACTTGTGGACTGCAACTCCCAGAATTCCTCAGCCAAGCACGCTGGCTGAGGAATTCTGGGAATTGAAGTCCACAAGTCATTAAAGGGCCAGATTTGAAGACCCCTGATCTCCAAGCTAGTTGTCGACTTAAACAGCAGTTCATTTAGTGACCATTCAAAGTTACAACAGCACAGAAAAAAAGGGACTCAGGACCATTTGTCACACTTATGACCTATAGTCATGTGATCAACATTCAGATGCTTGGCGACTGACTCATATTTATGACGGTTTGCAGTGTCCCGGGATCACGCTATCCCCTTTTACGACCTTCTGAGAAGCAAAATTGATGGGAGAAGCCAGATTCACTTAACAACCGTATTCCTCACTTAACGACTGCAGTGATTCACTTAACAACCGTAGCAAGAGAGGTCGTAAAACGGGGCAGGACTCTCTTAACAAATGTCTTATTTAGCAACAGAAATTTTGGGCTCCCTTGTGGTCCTAAGTTGAGGACTACCTGTAAAGGCGGGATAGAAAAATAAATGTGTTTCACTTTTTTATTTTTTGGCTTTTTGTATTATATTGTGTAAAGTCACCCCCCCCCAGAGAAGGAAATATTAAAAGGGCAGAAAAATATATTTCCTCAAAGGATCTTAAAGAAGCAGAAAAGCATGCCCAGTTTTTCTTAATAGCCCCAGGTCTCTCTCCCACAAGCAGAAACCAGCTCTGTATAAATGCAGGTGAAAACCATTCAGGAAGCTTGAAGCTAGAAGATTAAGAAGACAAAGACACCAAAAATCTACACACCCCACCCAAACTCTAAGACAGGACATAATAGGATTAACCCCCAGATACCAAAGGGCACACTCAGACTCAGGTCAAAGTTCATGCCACAGGAACAACTCCAAACAGAAGGCTCCAGAGGGTATAAAAACCCACTCCCTACATGTGCTCTCTCTTCCTTTCTTCCAGAGCCATCTCTCCGTCTGGCTCTCCTCTCCAAAAAACTGCAACCTTCTTTCTAAAGCAGTCGCCATGTTGTTTATTCCCAGCTTGGACTGAACCATGATGAAGACTTTTCCTTCAACAATATGTTGCATATAAACTTTACGCTGATACGTGAGCCTGGTCACTATTAATGGGGGGGGGGAGAAAATAAATTGAGAAGAGCAGGAGATGATCGGAAGAAACACGCATTTTGCTGAGCTCCTGAAAACATTAATGCTGGTGTTAGAAGTAAGTCTTCATCCTGGTTTATCTAAGCCGGAATAAATAAGCAACATGGCGACTGCTTTGGGAAGAAGGCTGCAGTTTATTGAAGAAGCAGAAAGATGGTCCTTGCAAGAAAGAGCAGAGGAGAGGAAAGAGCAGTTGAGCACAGGGGCAGTAGGTTTTTATACCCCCTCTAGCCTTGTTTGGAATAGTTTCCTGTTCCTGTGGCATGAACCTTGAGGCTATTTCTGAGTGTTTTTCTAAGCCTTGATATCTGTGGTTTAATCCTATTATCATATCCTGCTTCCCAGGTGATGGAGCTAATGACTCCTAGAGTTTGGGTGGGGCATGCAGATCTTCTCTTTGTCTTCTTGATTGCTCTGGCTTCAATTCTCTGATGGCTTTACATCTGCATTTGTATGGAGCTTGCTCTTGCTTGGGGCAGAGGGATAGATTTTGGGCCAGGTTTGGTTTTAAAAAGTCCTTTTGAGGAAAAATATATTTTCTGCCCTTTTAATATTTCCTTCTCTGGGCTAACTTCCCTCACTGGTTTCGCCACGAAATGGCCAAAGGCTACTTTCAAAATCCAGGAAACTTTGCAAATATAGCACACCCTGCAGCCTTTTACCGAATCGTCCTAACTGACCATGTTAATTCAAGGTGGGTTATCGGTGGATGGAA